CGGAAGAAGACAAGCAAATCCCAAACTTCACAGCAGCGCTTTGAGGTGCTCTGCCTGTGGCAGCCTACCTAGACTTTTGTCCCCTTTTTTTTCCAGTAAAATGTGTTCCTCAACCACTGAGAAGGATGTGCACAGAAATACTGACCACAGCAATGTTTGGTCAAGTGTTGAAGAGATGATTAGTCTCTTATAAGAATTACATTTATTTTGTGCATTCATTTTCTGTACTGAAGCGCACATGAAGGACACAGTGCTGGGCAGCGGCACCCCCTTAAGTCCAAGTATTTCCAGGTACAACCCGCACTACACAGGGCAGCTTCCAAACCCCACCAGTCTGGTAACCTCACGTTGGTTTCTCAGGTAACCAACCCACGAAACCCACTTCTAGGGCAGAGAAGGAGCAAGGGTTTGCGTAGTGGATCCTGACTGCCCAGTCCTTATGCTTTTCCTACCAGCCCAAACGCTGGTCTCTGCCTCCTGTACAGCAAGGGGGAGGTGATGCCAAAGGCCATGGGTGCAGTGCTGCTCCCCAGCAGCAGCAGATAAGCATGGCTCCTCCTCAGGCTTACAAGTGAAGAGCATCTTTAGCATCAGTAAGTCCTGCGCTCAGTAGGCAAATAAATCACCTGGCAGGGTAGGTTCTCAGCCTTCCTGAAGTACGTTTTTCTACACAATGCGTTAGCAGAGATTATGTTCCCTATCGTCTTTAAAAGCTAAGGATCCAAATGGTGACGTGCTGTATCATGCAAGCTGTGTACCATTTAGCATTAAGTACTGAGTATAAAATATGCTACAAATCGGACATCTGGTGTACTTGATCTGATTTTTTGATTCTACATTTGTCTTTTTTAGGATGATTCCTTTTTGTATCTTTCAAGTAACTCTGAAAACTTACTGTAAGCAGGGAGAGGAATGAATTTAATCTCAGAACAAAGCCGTTCAAGTTTTAGGAGAGTATTTTTCAGATTTTCATTACCTTGAGATCTGCCCAGAGTGTGGAAAAAGCAGTTAGAAGTTGTTACTTTCTCTATTTAGCATTTCAGTTTTACATGGGAAATCAGTTTTAATCTTAGAAAACTAGACGCTTCATGTAGTTTCTTCACTTGAATCAAGCCAAAAGCATTTCTTAGAGCTCTTAACTGAGAATTTCACTTTCGGCCACATTTTTGGAAGGAACTATTAATAGAGACAGTCACTTACTTGGAATCAATGCTACTGGTCTTACTTTCAGTGAAGACCCAATGACAATAAGGAGATCAACTTCATTTTTGTCATACTTCATGGCACGGTGGAACTGCTCGGGTAAGTTCTCTCCAAAGAACACGATGTCTGGCTTCATGATTTGGTTCATCAGGTGGGCATCTGGGGCATCTCGGTACAACCTGCATTAGAACAGCTTCTATTATTACAATCCAAGGCTGCGCCCTTGGAAACCTCAGATGTTAGCAATTTGCAGTGACTTACTATGGCAGAAGACAAGGAAGTTTAAGTGGCATTTCCTCATTTTGTTCTTCTGTGGATATACAGACAAGGGTGTTTCTTACTCTAGCCTGCAGTAACTGCATACAGAAATAAAACTCCAGCAGAAACAAAGAGGAGTCCTCTCAAGCCGAAAGAGAGAAACCATGCAGGTCTACACCCCAGTTCTTACCTGATAACTAAGCCAAAGTCCGGAAGGCATGCTCAGCACCCATGAGTAATTACCTCCTCTTTGACAGGAATGTATTTTTCTTGGTTTAATCAGAGCAAAAAGGTAAGATTTCGCTGTCAGTTTCCATTCTAGGATTTGATAAAAACCCCTTCCTAATCAGGGAGTACACTGCAGAGCTTTAACCTCTCTACTTCCTCCTCTCCTCCAAAAGCACGTGTGTTACACGCACACAGCAACAGGGCCCTGCAGCAGGTGCCTAGCCAAAGGGACAAGAACATAGGAAAGAACCTTTGTTCAGTCTCCATTTTAAACTTTTCCAATTCCTCCAAAACCAGAGCAGAATCCTTGTTCACTAAAAAAAAAAGGCGGAGGAAAGTTATGATTGTGAAGTTGGCTCCCTTTCCTCCGGAAACAAGAGGGTTTTCCGGTCTTTGGGACCTCCTTCAACTCTTTACTATCTTAAAACTTTTTCAGAGAAAAGAAAAGCAAGAAGGCGAGCAATACACATACAGACAATACTTCAGTTACTCCTGAGCAATTTTTCTTTTAAATGCTTCAAGTCTTCTCATCTGTAGTGTTAAAATACAATACCTCAGAATAAATCAAAGGGGCTAAATGTAGCTGTAGTCCTACAGCAGTCATCACAGGCAAGTTAGTGCTGTGTAAAGAGATGTATATTACCTATTCTAATAGGAAAATATATGAAAAATTATATTTAAATGCATAACAAGTCCCTCTTGTACAGAGAACATCTGCAGAAAACATAATCCAGAACTTACAAAGCTTAAGGCAAAGAACTAGTTTATGGATGTCTGCAGTAGGACTAAAGATAGTGCTTTCCAAATGAGGAAACATCATAAGCAAAAGGTCTTCTTCTAGTATCACAGCACATTTCCCAAACCTGTAAGTCTTCAAAGAATCCAGTCCTTCTCTGAAGAAAACCTAGTGCAGGGGATGCATAACAAGCCCCAGAGCTAGGAACTGGTCTGAAGAAAACCTTCAGCACATCCCCACGCTAACGCGCACCCAGTAGCCCCATGCTACAGGGAAACCAACCAAGGAATTCACCCAAAAGGAGCAGAGAGGTAGAATGAAGCTTGAACTTTTTCACTGGATCTTTTTGCATTAGAAAGAGAGCTCATAACCCCCAAACAACTTAAAACTTTTCCTGAAGCTGTGTCTTCTGTTGATGGTAGTGATGCCTTCGCACTTCCAGCTGGAAGCTTAAGGAGGAAAAATAATTTGCTCTGTATTAAGAGGAAGATGAAATGAGGACCTCTAACTTTTGATTTAAAGAGACCAGGTGATATTAACTCTATTTCCATCATTTCTCAGAGGAAATCCAATGACTTGTGACTTGGTGGATCTCTGCACAACAACTGATGTCCCTGTCCATATCATCTGAGTCACTGTGACGGGCCCATAAATGTGTTTCAACCCTACACCATTCACCAGCTTCTCTGCTAATCCTCAGAAAGGTCATCAGTAAGGGGGAAGATCTCTTCCAAGAGCTGAAATTGATACCAGAAGTTAAAGCTTGACAGTTGGCCACTGAATTGCCTCGGGTCCTCCTTCCCTCCAGAAGCAGCACTGCCCCAGAACCCCCGCACCTCTGCTGATGTACTTGTCTAATGAAAGAGAAGGGGAAATTCCCATTGACTATTGATGTCATCCATGTATCAAAAACAAGATCAGTAAAGATTCTTCCATTTCTTTGGTCTTTTCTTTGTAAATCTGAGACGCTTCCACTATTGCTTGAAGCTGCCTAAAATAGTCAAAGCAATGTAAAAGCACTGTTTTAGGAAGTAACTGACTGTTGTTTTACTCAGAAGCTCTATGTGTGATTTGTAACTGCTGGTGCTTCTCATCCAGAAGGAGGGCTGTGTACAGCAACCAAGAGAAAGAATCGTGCCACAGGGAACTACCAAGTTATCCTGGAAGTGGCAAAAGAATGAAGAACAGCAGCAAGGAATTGGTAGTTTTCTAAACAGATGATCTCAAACAATTCTCAGTCTATAATTTGTCAAAAGGAAATACTGGCAGAAAGAGGCTAGCTAGACTCACTTCCTTATGAAATACTTAGGACCACCAGAGGATGGAGCACAGCAAAGGCAAGGCAGTGTTTTCTGGGAAAACTGAGGACCTGGGGCCATGTATAACTCAATTTCCAGGTAGTGGAGGACAGCAGAGACCAGAAACGGGACTATCTACTGGGATCCAGGTGCCAAAACCATTTTTGTGTGGAGGAGTTGTTATAGAACAAAGCTGAATTGGACAGTGTTAAGTATAGTAGTTTCTTCTGATATCTGAGGAACCAAATTCCATGTTGTAGAGAGGCAACAGAAAAAGAAACTGCATAGCACTGGTTTGAGAAGTGCAGGCTATGGAGTAAAGATAATGATGGCAAATAGAACAATTAGTATTTTTTTCAGGTGCAGAAGAGGAAGGATATGTTTTCTTTCATTAGCTCTATTCCTTGTGTGAAATTATGTTTGGCAATTACCATATTTATTTCGCATTATGAAAATAATTCAGTACTACACCTAGGGCCTGTCCAGGAATGATACACCTGGCAACAGTACTGCAAGATTAGGGCTGAGGGATTGGGTGTAAAAACCTCCTCGAGTTGTATCTCAGGAGCAAGAACCCTCCTTGTTCTCGTTATGCAGCAGTTACTGCTACAGGCTCCTTCCTTCCACTTCTACATGCTCCTATTACTGCCCACCTGCAGGGACAGGCCATCAGGACAGAAGTTAGGTTCAGTGTAACAACATAAAATGATTGAAATGGTGGTTGGAAAAGAGACCCAACCACTAGCAACCAAACCAGAAAATTACAACATGCTTAGGAAGGTTGTTTAGAAGGAAGAAAACCTAAATCCCAATGAGCTGGCTTTGAAGGTAAAGGAGCAGCAAACATCTGTAAGATAAAAAGTTCTTAAAAATAATATTCTCCAAGCATTATCTGTTGTTTAAACATATTTTTAACGTAGGTAGGTGCTCAAAGAGCACCCAGTGCTATGGACAGCTAAGAATGCCTTCTCAGTGTGGCTGCGAGTTCAGGTGAACACAAACAGTGTGTGTAGCCAACCTGCTACTTACCATCTTAACCTCTCCTTTGCTCAGAGGTGCTATTAAAAATGGACTCTTACGGGTTTGCTCTGCTTTTTCTCAGTACCTAATTTCTGCAATATAGTAGTTGAGTATACTTTTAAATACTAGAAAAAACGCTAAAATACAGAGAGACACGTTCAGGAAATACATGCAAAGACAAGCAGCCTTTTAAAAGCAGATCTTTTAAACAATCCCCCTGTGGTGTTCTTGGGTTTGTCTAGGGTCGGTTTTTTCCAGTTGGTTATTTTTTTGTTGTTTGTTTGTTTTTGTGAGAGAAATACTTATTAGAAAGGTGCAGTGAGTTAAAGTAAATTTTTTACCTGATTGAAAATATCTCCTCGAACAACTTCACAATCAACTTTGTATTTACAGATCAGGCAGGAAGCTGTTGCAAAGGAACCTGAGGGGAAAAACCCGTATGGGAGAAATCAGGATTTTCAGTCATTCACATTTGGTCTTTTTGCCTGAGCTGTTTTCACACAAAGGCAGTTACATTGCAGTGCTATAAAAAACAGTCATTACAAAGCAATGTAAAGAGAGGTAGTTACAGTACTGAAGGTAGTTCTTCTAGATGTTAATCAGTGGTAGAGCACTCCTGCCTCTGTGTCTAAAGGGGAAGCTTCTTGGGTGGCTAACACACACGTGGAAGTGCACGCTGTGGAGTCAGGGTGGCAGACTAGCGTGGCCTTTTGGGGCAGGCATGTCCAGGAGAGTTAAGCCTACCAGGCCTTTAGTCTGTGGAAGCAATAATGCTAGGAGTTGACAGGATGCTGAAGAACAAAGCAGAACTGACAGATTTTCTCCTAACCATGAAACAGGGTAAAGAAAACCCAACAAAATAAACAATAAAAACCCAGGGATATTTGAGCCTGCACTAGAATGTGTCACTCCTACAGTAAAAGTCTGGAGCTCTCTAATGTCTCATGGTGCCCTGAGGGCAGTAAGAAAGCTCTGTGAGTCGTGTCCAGGGGGGTGCAAAAGTCTCTCTTTAAAAGGAAACTTCTAGGAAGGTAGCCATTAAGCTGCAGAAAGCTTTGCAGAAGCTAGGAACAGCTAAAAACCCCTGGTACCAAAACTTTATCCAGAGTATTATTTTAAACCACCCAAACCAAAGATGTTTTCTGCTCATAACCTACGCACAGCAGATGCCAAGTGAGGGGATTCTGGGGTTAAGTAGAACATGAAATACCCTTTGGGGATATTGTAGCTGGGTAGGACAAAGAGAGTGAAAGCACAGAACAACTTGGAGCCGGTCGTTTATGAACAACTGGCAGCTCAGGTCTGCTACCCACTGCTGGCAGGGAAAGCGCACAGCTCTCAAAATGCTCGCTCAGCTCCCAAAACCGGAAGGATTCCAAAGACTACGGGAAGTATGGCAGTTTTTTGCTCATTATAATTTGTTTATAGTAATAATTTACGCCTTTAAACAGTGTGTTAGGGACAGGTCAGTCAGTCTAGTGGGCCTAAGCCTGTCTGGGGCACCTGTTGCTTCCTAGTGGCAGCTCTATTATGAGAGTATTTTTTCACCATCGGAAGGACTTAATGGAGAAGTTACGCTGCTCCACACAAGCCATGTGTCACCAGCAGGCCACTGCCTCTGATCATTCAGCTACAACAATGGCAAGGAATAGGACTGAATTCCAGACAAGTTGGTTGACTGCAAAAGCCATTTTAAATTCAGAAAATGTTTCTAGGGCACGTACAGTAGTTTTCTTGGTAGCAACTTCACCACAGGTCTGCAGTGTGAAATGGGCTCAAAGTTTCATATATCAAATCCACAAATCATTACAAGGTTCCCTGTCACTGGGCACACTCATCACTAACTTGCCATTGCCACAGCTAGACAAAAAAGATGAAATAAATGCAGCAGTATGAACCCCTACATAACAGAGTTTCAATTTTTCTTTCGCCCTTACCATTAGTCAGCTAGCGCTTGCTAGGGCAGCAAACCTGTATGTCAGATAAAGCCTGATGTGCTTGAAACAACCTTTGCTAACTTCCAAAGACCTCAAAATGTCGGTCCATAGCATGTTTTTAAAGAATATTTTTAACTTAAAATCAACTTAGACAAGACATACACTAAAGATCGTCTGAAATCTAATTACTGCAGTGTGCACCTGAAAAAATGGGAAGCTTGAGTGTGGCAGTGATGTGCACAAACACAACCATGTAAGAAGTTCACACAGAATGACAACCAAAAGTGACGGCAAGACACGCTAAGCACAAATGGAAACTGGCATGAGATCTGGGTTATTCAACAGGCTGCTCTGCGCTGTTGGGTCACCACAAGAGAGCACCACGTCTGCTCTGTCTGAAAACAGAGACGGGACAAATCTGGCACTGAGCTGAGCTTTGTAGATAAGGAAATCAAATGAGTTTGGTCCCTGGAAAAGGTGGAATTAGGTCTTTTAAAAAGACATCAACACTGCTTTTAAACAATTTATTTGCCATAAGTCTACTAAATCATTCAAGTGGGCACTTTGAGAATTAATTTTCTCCATCTCTTCCTTAAAAATAAGTCCTTGAACTTATTTGCAAGTACTTGGAAATGGAAAGCATATCAGATGCAACTAGTTAAAAGATTCCACTTAAATCAGTATCGTAATTATAGAATGTGTGTGACACTGAAGGAGTAACAAGATGATCTTCAATTCAGCTGAACCGGATGGGTGATAAATCCACAATATTTTATACATGAGGTAAAGTCAATGAAGTGTCAGGATATTTTAAAATTTCAATAGAATATAACTTAAAAAAGGGAATCAAATAACAGCTGTTTCATGGATGGACAGTGAGAGGGACCTATGGAAAGACTGATTTTCACACAGTGTTCTCATACATTTATATAAAGAAACACCAAATACAGCTTAAAAGTTAAGGTCTAAGCTTGTGTGAACAGTGTTGATCTTCACTGGTAAGCAAAGACCACGCTTATCAAATATCATTTATGAAAGAAGTAGTTTCAATTGAAACACTTCCGATTTAAATACTTAAGCTACCCAAAAAAATAAATAAAAATGTACATTTAAAAAGCAGAATGTGTTGCCAAGAAATACTAAATCAAGAAAGAAAAAAACTAATTCCAAAAGTGATTACTTTGTCTGATGCACCAGTAGAAAGCATTCCTACACATAAAATAAGAAAAGGAAAACTAAAACCACTAACCATGACACTGTATTATCCTTTGGATTCCTGCAACCTGCTCCAGTGTGTCTATGTTCTGTGTATAGTTGCGAAGTAGTTTTCCTTCTTTATCCATCAGAGCTATGAACTTGTGACAGAGGGACGGCTGGAACTGTCCTGGATAGATTTCCTAGAGAATTCAGAAGCACATTAGAAAGTGTCAGTGGGTGCGCAGTGTCTTTACTCTGACTGTGGCAATTCACCCAGAGCTAAATATTCTCCATCACGACTACGTCAGCCGGTCATGTTGTCCCTCCCTTTGCGTTCTGCCATTCCTCTCGGATCCAGCGCTTCACTGAACATCTGAGCTTCTGATCACATCAGGATGAACTCCTCCATGCAGGCTGGTATTTTGTGCTTCACACAGCATAAAAGCAAGCTTTACATCTTTTTTGCCTTTGACAATGATGAAATAGGAAAGCTCTTTCTCTTTTACAAGTGTCAAGAAACCTCAATACTTGTTATTAGCAACCTATACAGTTCAACTGCAGTTTGATAAAAATTTCATAAGGGGTTCAGGTTCTGGTGTTTTGGTTTGGGATAAGCAGTTTTTACTCCTCAGCATTATCAGCAACTGTCCCTAGAGGATGGAAGCCCAGAAAGCAGAACGACGTTGGATAGGAAGACAGGTTCTACTTCTGCACAATGATTTGACACCTGCTCACAGTGAACAAGGATCCTGCCAAAGGGAAAGA